CCCTGCTCTCCTGGAGGTGCTGAACACCTCCTGCCCATGGGAAGCAGTGAATTAATTCCTTGTTTTGCTTTGCCTGTGTGTGTGGCTTTTGCTTGCTCTATTAAACTGACTTTGCCTCAACCCATGAGCTTTTCTAGCTTCTACCCTTCTGATTATCACCCCCATCCTGTCGGTGGGGGAGTGAGTGAGAGGCTGCGTGGTTCTTGGCTGCTGGCTGGGGTTAAACCACGACAGGAAGGAAAGCATTACGTGGATTATACTACATCTCAAATACAGTACAATTTGTCCAAAAAATAGAACTTTTTACTAGATGGCAATACAAATACGCTGCTTTTTTTTTTTCTGCTACACCCTCCCTTTCCAGGAAAAGCTACCACATACAGGGATTTATGTCTTCTCTCTAATACAGTGTCAGTATCAAGATATATATGACCTATTGCTATTAAAGAAAGGAGGAATACTGTGCTGGCAAAGAGCACAATGTCATAGCACAGGTTGTGAAAGAAAAAGGCAACGAGCAGGAGGATCATGAGAATTTTACAACCTCATTCCCAGGTGATGGAAAATGAAAGATAAATACATGCAGTGTCAATGACTAGAAGATCAGAAAGAACTCTGCTCTATGTCAGAACATGAAAACCCTGATATGTGAGTATGTGATTTTAAAATTCTGTCAGGAATCAAATGCAGCACAGCACCTAAATATGAATTCTCCACCCAATGATATTTTGGTTTTGGTTTGCATCTCATTTTTCAGAAGAAATTAGCACTGGGGATTTCTATAATTACATTCAGTAATACTTAATTATGAAAAATACTTGTGTTTTGTTTAGAAGAACATATAGCCAAATGATTGTGCTAATTTTAAAAACTCCCCTAGAAGGTCAGGATGTGATAGTATGATTCTCTTGTAGAACTTATTTTATAATCATACATATTTCTACTATGAAAAGTTACTGAAAAACAGTGGTTTGCTGTTGCGTATCTTGCCATCTTTCCAGTTCCCTTCTAACACTTTATTGAATACAGAGACTTAACTTGTGACAGCTGAACCTGCTGCCATAGAAATTACATTGATAATCTGATCCATGTCACCACCTTCAAAATGCACATTTCAAAATCAGGAAAAGAGCAACATGCAACAGGCTTTATTACTATGCCAGTGCTTACAGTCTGGGATCAATTTTGGAACACCATTTCATTCTGTAGTGTGCTGCTGCTTTCAGGGAGGTTTGCTTTATGAAGCACTCAGCATCATCTCATGAAAGACATAACGTCAATTAATACAGTCATTATAACGATTAAAAAATACCCTTATCACTGTACTTGGAAAATATTTTCATTTTATCGTAAAGATTGTCAAAATATTACTTTATAGGTAAATAAATTAAACCACTAGATTCAAAGAACCTCTGATTTTTCATGTAAATGTGTCTTACTTCACAGCAGGAAACAAAGGAAAACAAAATCATGGTACCTACTGAAGGGCAGATTTAAGCAATAAATGCAACAGGTTCAAAGCTCCAATGACTGTTATTCCAAGGAACTACCTTAAAAGAAACAGCACAGACTATCAGTATAGGCTACACTGTCACCTGAATAAAGTCTTTTTGACTTAATGATGTAGCAGCTGAATACTACTGCACGTGCAACTGAGCACAGGAGCAGCTATGCACGTCAGAGTTGCTAAATGAAGATCACGCCTGTATAAGAGAAACCTGGGAGACAGAAAAGACCAGATGGTCTCTGTTTGCTTCCCACCAGTTTCTTTCACGAAAACTGAAAAAAGCTTCAAAAAGCATGAGTACACTGTCTGGCAAGAGTATGTGTACTTCTAGCCTGTAATTATTTGTGTAACACCTGTTGAATCAACAACCGTTATAGGGTGGAGGCCCAGTAGTTGTACATTAATTCTACTAGTTTAATTTCCTTCATTAGCTGCAGAGAACCTCGAGGTAAAAGAAGAAAGGAGATGGAGGGAAGAGGGTTGGTAGCAATTCAAGGGAAGGAAACAACAAAGAAAAAAATACTCTGGTTTTTCAGGCAGGAATTCTCTCAAATACTATGCATTTACAAGGAGTACAAAGAGGTTGTGATCTAATTGGGAACTTGGAGTATACCAAAATAAATTACAATGAAGTGACGAAGATAGACACAGCACATGGCAAAAAAAAGGGACCCTTCTGGTGGGGAAAAAAGTGACTCTTGTCATGAGAAATACATTCCTGACTAGTTATGGACTTAAGACAATTACGATTATTCTACTGTTACTAAATTGTACGACTCTGTTTTCAAAGGTTTAGACTGCTAACATACCTGAAATCTCAATAATTTTACTGCAGCTTAACAAAAAGTATAGTGCAGTCCAAGAGTATTACTTACAAATCCTCCTTCCCTATTTGTACAACTCACAGCAATTTACACAATGAAGATCAACTGCCTCAAAGTCCGATTTTCCTTTCATTACACAGACCACTATATTTACTGATTTGAGGCAAGAATAATAAAAAAATAACAATTTTCCTACTTCTCTTGAATTTTGTTCTGGAACACACTGAACTCCACAGAAATGCTTCTGTTTACCTACCATTTCCTGGATTAAGAACCCCAACAATTCACAAATACTGGATGTGTCCTGAACTGTCTCTCCTTGAAAAAATGCACAGATGACCTAAGAGCTACCTTTTAAAGTCAGAATCAGTAAGCAATAAATTCTTACCATAAGAAATTCAGTGTTAGAACTAGCTTACCTCAAATACAGCTTCATCTCTATAAGAAGGAAAATTTTCCAGTACGAGACGTAGCAGCTTCTGGGCACTCTTCTCACTCATCTTAACACAGGTGAGGAAAGATCCTCCAAACTTCTCTAGCAGAACTATTCCACTTTCATTCAGCACCCGGTGTCTTTCTTCTATCAGAGGTATAGGCACTTCTGTGTCAGAGCGAAATACATGCTTGACTTGGTCGAGCGTCATGGTGGCAAAATATGATGCACTGGTGATAGGTATTCCTTCAGAAAATAGAAAATGAGAAGTTTAGGATATTGCAGGGCTTACTGCAGTGACCTGCTAGAGATGAAAGCACTTGTACAGGTAGAACTAAAGTCTGTCAGCTCTTAAAATCACTTTCGTTTCCAGCAATAACTGCACTCACAGACCTGCTCAAAAATAAACCTGTGTGCACACAGTGCTTCCCTTCCACAGGTAAGAACTTCCAACATCCAACCATGGAACGAACCTTTCCTACTATGTGTGCATAATTTTTTTCCAGCTGCTTAGCATTCAGCTTTGAGCGTGGTGTTCACAGAGCACATGGCAAATACAGTCAGCATGCAGCTAGTGTGGCCAGCACAGGCCTGTTTTCCCTCAGATCCTAAGCAGGCTGTGCATGTACAAAAAGTACCTTGCTGTCATCGCTCCATAATTTACAAACAACTGCGCATAAAATTAATTAACTTTCATCTGTACCTACGAATAGATTTTTTTTCCCCTGAGGACAACGACAAGCATGAGTGCTAAAATGCGGGTTTTAAATATGCAAGTTTAAAAAGTGTTTACAAAGTTTTAAACAGTGGTTTAAAATACTGGGGCTTGGGGGCTTACTGGGGCCGGTCCGGTACTAGATTAGTTCAGAAGATTCTCAGTTTGTGCCTCCCTTTTTCGTACGTCGTGCAAAGACGCAATTTTTCTTACGAACCCACGCGAAATAATGAAGCCACGGCAACCCTTACAGTCTTTCGAATGGACAAAGATCTCGG